CTGTCTCATGTGAAGCAGCCTAGAAACATTTAACAAATGCCAGTCTTGTCTGAGACATTTTTTCTCATAACACACAAAATCATGTAATTAAAACAGCTTTATGTATCTCTGGTTATTTTTGTCTGATACTTAAAGCAGAAGAAACCTATAAGGAAGAAAACTTTTTTATAATATATACATGAAATAATAAACTGAATTTTGTGCATGAATGCAAAGATCAGAGACAATGTTGAATATATGTGTGAATTAAAAAAATATTTACTCTATGATTTTAGTTATTCCTCTTCTACGTTTGTTTCAGGCTCTGATCTAATTCATGTCAGATGACTTAAACTGAAGCTACATGATCAGATATCACCCCAACTGAACCCAGGCCAATAAACTGAGTCAATGTTCTGGTTAACACTGCACTGCATCTATCTTGCAACTTATCAAGCTTTCAAATCTGTGTGGTCCACACACTAACAATGTCACAGTGACTAACCTAATCTGTACGTGCAATCCACAAGAGAATGATAGAATTACAAGTAACTGAAAGTAAATATAAACAATTTTAAAGATTAATAAAAACAAAAGTACGAAAACTGGATTATCATACTCAATTCTTTCACCATGTCAAACTAGAACATCCATCTATATATTAAAAAAAGTGTCTCGAAATCCCTGATATAGAAAAAATAGAGGAGAAAGAAGAACGTCTTCATGATCCTGCTGATTAATGCTTTTGGTTGGACATGATCAGGTTTAGGTTGAAGAGTTCTTAAGGGCTCTAAAATGATAGTAAATTATTGGTAAACTTACCTAGAAATTTTCTTAAATACAAAAACCCTCATAGTAGTTGATTTCAAAACAAAATATGAATACAGCATTTACGTTTTATGTCTTTATCATTGCACAAGAAAACATTTTCTGAAAAATATTCAAATGAAGTGAAACATGACATTGTCGATATGTTCAAATCAGTCAAGACATGCATATAAATGATACATTTGGTAAAAGCAGGTTCTATACAAGAGAGCAGGCCTTTAATATGAGCAGAATTACACTTATTACATTGAACTGTAGGTTTCAGTGATGACTCTTCTTCCTTCTTGTTGTTATTAAAACCCGACGAGTGATTTCTACAAGCACAGGGCTTCCTACATCATCTACAATGAAATGTCTCCATTCCTGATACGAACTTCTCGAGCCATCCTGCATACTTCACAGAATCCACAGAAAAAGGTCATGAGGGCGTCGTTGCAAACCGTGCCCTGCAGTTAGATAATGATGAGAAGAGTTAACAATAGGGAACTTGTATTAAGAAATCTATGCAAGCTCAGTTTTCATCATCTCAGGGAAAACTAGTATTTCCTTATTTATGAAATCTCAACCTTTCTTAAGATCGAAGGTTTTGCAAAATGTCTGCTTTGTTTTACATGAGAAGATTTGGCAAATTTCCTACCTGAATACCATAGGTCAGTCTCATGTGAGTCCTCATGGCAGTCATGCCTCCTGGCACACAACCCAGGCAGCAGTTTTCACCATACTTGCTTGCAGTGTAACAGTGCAGAGCCATCGGACAGAAACAACCAAGGGCACCTAAAAAAAACCCACATTCTATTAAGACAGTTTGACAAGCAAAACTGTTTCTTTCAGACCATCATAAACCATAAACATGTTTTATGGATATGTTGTAAGATTCCACTCACAAACTAAACAGTCACTAAAGCAGGAACACAAGCCTGTGCTCCACTCCCCAGTCTGGACGTTCGTTCCATAGCCTCCTGTACCGGGTTGACTGGTGACCACTGGGTTTGACATTTGGACAGGAAAAGTTCAAATTCAGCTAGTGAAACAACCTGGAAAGAGATTAAAGACTGTTGTGGGTGGGAGAAGAGATGACAACATTTCTTTCCATGCATCATAACACAGCTTACGTAAAATAAATGTCAACATTTGGCGTCTTTTTTTAGAAAACCATTTAATCAAAGTTTTAGTGCTCACAAAATACAGAAAATGTAAGATATAAGCTTTGATTGAGCAACCAGACTTTACAAAACCCTTCACTAATTACCTATTGTTTGTTTTAGCAAAGCTTTCATATATTTGCTGAAATGCAATCATCAGTTGCAGATTTATATTTTGAATGTCCTAAAAAACTGAAGATACACATTTTTAAACAACAAATATGCTCTAAATATATACAGATAATATATATATATAATGCTCATTAGTTCTACAACAACACCTAACCTTTACTGGACTTTTAATAATTACAATTTTGTAGCCACAGACACTAAATGTAACCTTAATTTAGATGGACAGATCACAAGGTAGTAAAATATACGGTATGTCAAATTATATGAGAAAGTTTTAGTCTACATTTGAAAAATCAAATAAGCTTAAAAATCCAATCTAAACAGTTGAAATAATTTACCGAACAGCTTCGAAGGTTAACTTGCAGACAGAGAGAACAAACATGTCACTTACCAGAAGTCTGAACTCCGTTTGATCAACTGACAAGCTTCACACCACACAGGAAATTGTGACGATCTCGAGCTGTGAAATGCTGGTTCACCAACAAACTGCTCTTTCTGAGGATGAGAAAGATCTGTGGAGAATCTAAATGAGGCCAGTTAACAACAGTTAACTGGAAGAGGCTTCTTGGGGTCACAGTTCAAATGATACAGGTCACCAACAGATGAGCACAACTAAATCTATGTCTAAACTATTTTAAGAAATGAATTCTTGTGAAAACTGTTGAAAGCACACAGATTAGAAAACAGTTTAGTAGGAAATAGAAATACTGCAAGAAGCTCTCAACTATTATTTCATGGGAGGGTCTATAAAAGAGGGAGGGGTCTTTGCATAGTTCTCTTCCTGCATCAACAAGACCAGAGGACAGCCAGGCCGAATGTTTGTTTTTTATTCCAGTTTTATGTTTGGTGGATAATCTATTAGGAAACCCACCTTTCAAGGAATTTAGTAAACACGCAGTCACCAGCATGTTGTGGATTGGACATCTGCATTTCACTTTCTCCAGTCATTTCTTCTGGGATTTTAAGGGATTGGCCAGACAGTGATAATCTCACATCTGCAAATAGCTTGAATTGCCTTATTGTGATATATATTCTGTACACATTGTCAGGTTTTGCTTCTGTGGAGTTCTGACAATATTCCTTACTGTGACAATAAAGTGGTCTGTTCCTTCCAACTGTGTTAAATAATGAAGAAGCCTTATTTTCAAGAGTGAAAATACAAGAGAAATACAGCTGATTTCTACTTAAGCACTCAGGATTGAAGGTTCAAGCTGAGTGGGTCAGGCTAAGGTGACAGTTTTACATTTCATATTATAAATATATTGTTATACTGTTAAAACAATCAAAAGTTATTACCATAAACCGTGGGCTCTACTATCCTCCATGACAGCTGATGTGAAAGGCCTAAGTATTATAATTTTTTGTTTCTATCTGAGCCAAATGATGGAGCGAATACTGAACAGCAACCATTTTAATATTTAGACTTAAAACCATCACGTTTAGCTTTAGAGCATTCGCTTAAAGGCATTTTTTTAGAACTATTAGGACATCCTGTAAGGAAAATGAAGCCTTGTTAGACTTATAGTATTGAGTTTGATTAATGTGACACACACTATTTAACAGCTACAAAACTACAAAACTATGGAAGCCATTTTATTTATTTGAAAAAAGAAAGGTCTCATGCATGTTGGCAAAAACTGCCATATCTACTTTAAATGTGACTAGTTTAGAATTAAAATTAGATTTTTTTTTTCATTTCTATGTATTACTAACAAAGCTAAATTTTTTGTCTTTATATATATATATATCTATATATATATCTATATCTATATATATATATATATATATATATATATACATATATAGATATACGTATACAATTCAGGATGCATTTCCTTTGGTTTGTCAGCTTAACTTTGGGCAGAAAAAAAAAGTAAAAAAAAAAAGAACTCCATGTCAATTAATTAAAAACTGTAGTACGATGAAACTACTTGATCACCATACAAAGCCCTTTCTCTTGATCTGAGCTAGAGAAAAGCCTACATGCTCTTAATGAATATTGCTTTCCCCTCATGATAAGCGTGAATGCCAGGGCCCGGTGGCGTCAGTGTACGGCAGCCCCGCTTCTGTCAGTGAGCCCCAGGGCAGCTGTGGCTACAATGTAGCTTGCCACCATCAGTGTGTGTGTGAATGGGTGAATGAATGTAGTGTAAAGCGCTTTGGTCAAGTCTCCTGACTTGAATAAAGGCGCTATATAAGTACATGCCATTTACCATTTCCCCCCAAATGGCTAATCGTTGCAATTCTTGACCAAATTAAAAAGCCACGATGCTAAAACTGCAAATCCATATTTGTTATTTAATGCAGTATTTTTTAGGATTCAAGTTTAATACATTATGTGTTTCTAAAATTATGTTTAACCCTTTGACAAACTTTTCAGCAGAAAAAGGCGTCCTGTTCTACAGCATTCACACAGCAAATGCAACTTTTCTGATTTTGGTTTGTCAAAACATTATAGATTTCCTTTATAGAAAGTTTCTTTATATATTCCAGTTGTATGTTTTTACCCAGTTTTCTGTATTAGAACAATTTAATATTTTGAATAATATGATCAATGGACTGGCTTTAAGTTGAGATCCAATTTTAAACAGAGGAATACAGCGATAATGTGATTAAGCACTAAAATGATCAGTTATTTGGATTTGAAACATTGCATAAAACACAAATTTTGCCGTTTAATGCAGAGAAAAAAAACTACTTTTTTTAAGAATGTTGTTGACTGAGTACGAAGAAAGTTTAGATAGAGTGAATAATCTGCAGGCTGGGGTTTTCTTGTTAAAGTGGATTTAACTTTGTATTCTAAGAATTTCATTTATTTGGTAATCTAAATCATCTGTTGGTTTGTTGATAAACTAAAACCAGACACCGTTTTTTTTTTAAGTGCCAAAGGGACATGCCAAAACAAACATCTCTGAGATGCATTTGATATATTTTATTTCCAAGATGCTTCATCATTGTAAGATTAATCCAGAAGTGAAAATTAAAGAACATCAGAATGAAAACACAAAAAATGGGATAGATCAAACAAGGAAACCTATTCCCTAAACATTGAGAGCAGACAGTTCTTCAGACTAGGTGGTTTTATTGTGTTTGAGCTCCTGCTGCCTTGGCTTCCTCTGATTCTGTGGTTCCTAAATGCTGCTTCATCTTTTGCTCTGCTTTCTGCTTCTGCACCGCCTTGAAAACCTGAGAAACGACACAGGAAAACTATTAGTTTGGGTGTGAAACCGACCTTAAAGCACAAGTAAGACAAAGCAGTCCTTATGAATAACCCTCCATAAAGCAGAAAAACTGCTTAACAAAGAAACAATATTAGGAAAACTTCAATGCAAACAGAAGATTGGCTTAATTTATTCACTACCTTGATGCAGAACTCTTTCTTGGCGAGCCAGCGGCGGGTGGCCCGTCTGTAGTACTCTGGGGGGAAGGTGTAGGTGATGCCAAGCTGCTCACACACTTTCTCAAAGGTGTCAAAACGAACCAAACGTAGGTTTTTCAGAAGCTTTTTTCTACGATCGATGGCCATAAGCATGCGCCTCTTGTTAGCTTTGTCCTGGAATAAAACATGTTAAAATGAACCATTAGTGTCTACTGGCTCAACTTTTTTGCAAATGGTAAACAAATGCAACTTATTAGCAGAACAGGGATGCTGTTTTAATATACAACCTCTACGCAGCAGTTTTAAATATAATAAGATGTTTAAAGTGTGACGTAAGTTGGAAACTTCCGACCACGGCTTTGCTTGCGCACATTTTATTTCATGTGGGTTTTAGTACACAGGATTTCCTGTAGCACATATAAACTCTTCATACCAAAGGAAGTTAAAGGGAGAGGAAACCGGCACACATGAAGACAACTCTGAATCATGTTAGCTTGTTTTCATAAAGCATGGACACAAAATGATTTAATATGCAGAGGGGGGAATAAATGACTTCACTCACCTTGTGGTGTTTCTGCAAATGCTCTTGATAGTTTCGAATTCTTGCAGTCAAAATAGCCACTGTAATGACAAAAATCAGAAGGGGAATACAACTG